ATTAGGGAGAATGCATATTAGATGTAGATAACAGAATAATATCTTTCATTTTTACTGCCTCTTTCAATACTAGCTCTGAAGATCCTGCCTGAGAATCTGTAGCCTAAGCGTGGGTAAAGAGGAACTGTTGCTGTTATCTAACCCAGCTAGGCTAATTTAGCAGACAGCCATTTCTGTCTACCCTAGGGCCAGGGCTCTGGTCTCAGACTTTAATAGATGATGTTCACTTGAGCCTGGGAACAAAGGATGAATCTGTACCTGGGAGTTGGAACATACTTCATCACTCTTTTCCTAGTAGGTCCACTCACCAATTAAGTTAGCTTCCTGTTTCCTGGTGACTTCTCAAGACTGCCTATAAAAACTCACACCTTTGGGAGCTGGTTCAGTATTTGCTTTCTGCCATTGGCTGATAATTTCCTGTGAACAGGTAAGGAGAGGGAATAAATTCACAGTAGCTGAAGGGGAGGGGAGAACCAAAGAGAGGGAGATTGTATGGACAATAAAGGTAGAAAGAAATAATGACTTGATGACAATAACAAATATGATGGGATGAAACAAAGAAAGCTAAGAGGAATTGATATAGAAAGACAGAGGAGAAGTGGTAATAGAATGCACAAGGCGAAGAATGATGCATGCCAAACTCTTTGGTTGTGGTTTTGATTGTTCAGTGATAAAGCATAAGGTCTACTGTGTCTGGTAGACCATAGATGCTATTTAGAAGCTAGCAACAAGGGAGGAAAAACAATCTTGCTAAAACTCCTGAAGAATTTACATTTCTAACTTTTGCATAAATTAATTACCAACAGCAGCTGTTATACTTCATTATTAAAAGGCAGATGACAAAGACCAAGCCATAGCAATGAAAATATTTAGAGCATAAACATTCCCAATTAACTAGTCCGCAGCTCTCAGGAGAGGGTCAAGATAATAAAGGTCATAGTAGATTTCTGTTGTTTCACACTGACCAGGAAAAGAAGGTGGGGGAGGTGTAAATAAAAAAGATAGATATGTACATCTTCATTAAAGTGAGGAGCAAGGATATTCATTATTGGATCACAAAATTATTGAGTAGCTTTATTCAGGTCATTTCATATGATACTTGCATGTGAATAGATTGACTTTACCTTTTGCTGAGAGCTAAAAGAGAAATCGTTACCCTGTTCTGATTAGTGAGCAATCCAGAGGAAAGCTTGACAAAATGAATTCTGTTTCATTACAAATTCCAGAAAGTAGGAACTCACTAAGGTTAGAGAGAAAATCCTCTGCTCTTGGTTTGTCTTCCTCTCTTCATTACATAGGAAGACAAATTCCCAGGAAACAACAGCTTTAGCAGCAAAATGAGCCCCTTTCTTCTCGTCTTCATGTCCATCTTCCAATATCATCTTCTGGTCCTTTTATGAGTAAATGTGCAAACCAGTAGAATACAATGCATTACATGGATATATGAGATAGTATAAGAAATTATTTTGTTTAAAAATAAGAATATTACACGTCCGGCTTTTCTCGTAAACTTAGCTTCTCTGATGTTGTCATTTAATGCAAAAAACTCTCTGAACTTTAGATTTAGTAGACCTGATTTTGAATCTATAAATAGTGAATGTGTTATTTAACCTCAATAGGCTCATTTCATTTCTTCAAAACAGAAGAAAGCTCTACCTGGTTTTATTTTCTGGAATCTTATAAATTAATATATAGAACACCTAGTCAACTATATATTATATAACAAGCATGTTAATTCTCTTCTCCCTTACTTTTACCTCCTTTATTTATTTTCAGAGAGTAAGCATTCTCTTGCCATTCTCTGGTTCTAGGCACAATTTACGTTTCTATCTTTCAGCTTTTCATCCATCTTTACATAATTTCTCATTTATTCAATAATTATCAATATTTTCTGAGTTGCTTTCAAGTCAGCTTTGACCCTTGGTAACCCCAAATGTGTCCAAGTGGAACTGTGCTCCACAGCGTTTCTAATGACCGATCTCCGGGAAGAAGTTTATCAGATAATTCTTGCAACATACTTTGGAAGAATCTGAACTGTGTTCTCTTAAGGTGTTGGACTGTGAAGGAAGGAGAAATGTGATTTAAACAATCACAATAAAAAATACAAAAACATACATACAGAACTTTTGGGAGGCACTTAACAGATTAGTAACTCTGTGTTACAGAGGGGATTTATGAACAGTTATTGCATAAAAAACTCCTCTTAATAACCATCCTTGTCAGGCTAAGATGAAGAGGAAGAAATAAATAGAACTCTCAACTAATTTGTTTTTTGATTGTTACTATTTCTTCTTATGATTTTTGCTTTCCTGTTTGGTTTTCCCAAAAGTGACAATTTTCATCTTTCTTCATTTTCCCTTGTCGTAATAGTGGTGGTGTTGTGTACCATTGAGTCAGATCTGACCCATAGCTGACCCTCCATCAGTTTTTTAGAGTCAGATAATTAGATAGGAGGAGATAGGCCAGACTTCTCCATAGAACAGATTTGAACAATGTTCCTTGGGGATTGCAGCACAGCTTCATACCACAAGGCCACCAGAGCTCCCTAATAGTTCTCCATTAATACTTTTGCTGTGGCTTCTTGCTTCATTTAATTTTAACAGGTTCTGAGAGTTTGGGGTTTTTTTAAATTTTATTTTATTGATTTTTGTGTGAGTGTACCATCAAATCAGATCTGACTGGTACGGGAGGAAATTGTCCCTCCTTCCTTGGCAGAGCATCTGGTGGATTCGAACCGTGCGCTTCTGGGATTGTAGTTGCAGCTCCTTACCACTAGGCCACCAGAGCTCCCCTAGGTTTTGAGAGTTTTAAATAAAGAACAAATTCTTCACTTCTTTCTGTCACTCTGACTCTTAGCACATTAACATAAATTATTCAGAGACTGAATGGGTGATTTGTTTCAGTGCATTTACAATTTATACCTAATTTAGCACCAGATTTCATGCCCCTTCATTTTTTTTCCCTCCCAACCAAATACTAGCCATGTATAACGTAAAAACTAATGTTTTTGTCAAAAAGAGTGATGTCTGCTCCTTTCTCACTGAGGTAATAAGAGATTATTTCTATCATTATTTTTACTAAAGTTGAAGAGGAATAAGAAACAATTCAGAGTCTCTCAAAATCCAAAACAAAATCTACTGCTGTTGATTCAATTTAAACCCTCCATCTGGTTCCTAAAGCTCTACACTTTTTGAGAGACACTTCTCAACTCTCTCCCACAGAGCAGCTAGTGGATTCAGACAGTAAACCATTTGGTTAACAGTTCAACACATCATGCACATTCCACCAAAGCTCTTTGAAGTCCTACTCATCCATCTTTGTTTACTGAAAGGCAGACTCTGGCAATAATACTCTTTGTATTTCTTAAGTTACCAGTGCAACCAGCTCAGATAATTGAAAGCTGAAGACATTTAGGCCTGTTGTGCTTGGATAGATAGTGGGTCTAAGTATATCACTCTTTATCAGCTCTTTGTTGGAGACTACTCAGCCTAAAAAATTTAAAAAAAAAAAAAGAATAAAATTATCACAGTAGTCAATGGTAAATATTCACCAGCATTTTACTAACCATTTTAAATATAGGTCCCTGTTCCTACTGTTCTTTGATCACATTTCTAAGTTTTTGTTGCTGCCATCTTATATGAATTCTCATCTACTGCATTATTATTCTGCAGTGACTTCCTAAGTAAAGCTCATTTATGAGTTTTCCATGTCATTCATCATACGTTGCTTGGTCTTCTTAAACACAGGTTAAAGTGCTTGAAAGTGTTAGATGGCAATTGTTAGATAACAATGTGAACTTAACCACAACCCTAAAAGAGAAAATTTTACTAATTTAATAAAGAGAATTCTGTGTATTGACAGAAGTGGTGTACTCAGAGCAAGAAAAAAAATAAACAGGGAAGGAGAAATGCAAAATTTTGTCATCTTGGGTCCTTCCAATTACATAAATTGAGTACAAAGTTAATTAATAAAAATGGGATTTTTAAGGTGATTATTAATTTCTTGTTAAATGCTGGCAAACAATTAGGTTTGAGTTAGAAGTATACAGACTTACTTCCTATGCCTAGATCAGAATACTTAGATCATCTATTTCCAACCAATTTTTACAATTCTTGGCAAGAAAGTCCTCTCTTTTAGAGATTTAACAATAACAGTATACTAGATCATCTAATAGATATCTACAGAAAGCAGAATGGACAAGTACCCAAGGGGTAAGGGGAGAAAAATAATAGGGATAAGCAGTCCTGGGAAATTACAGGCAAACCTCATCTTACTTCTGAATATGGTGCTTCATGGATGTTTTCTTTTTCAAGAGTTGAAGGCTTGTAGCAAAGATGCATTGAACAAGTTTACTGGTGCCATTTTTAACGGCATTTGCCACTTTTAATATGTGCTACATTTTTATAACTACCACAGTACTTAAGACTTTTTCATAATAAAATATTTTTTCTTGATAAAATTTTTGCACAATTAATTTATTACAGTGCTATCACTTTTAGATCACTCCACTTTGCATATTACTCTTTGTTGATGTGCAGTATGAAGTAACCTGGATTGCTGTGATGCTGAACCTTGTACCATTGGGTTATCAAATACTAGAATGGTTTCCCATGTGGACAGTGTTTGGTGCAGCTCCCAGTTGTAAAACAGGTTTTGAAGCAGGAGCGGCATCCACTTCCTAAACCACATGCCTCTGGAGACTCTATGAACTTGGAATGGACAATAGTTAAGCACTAATAGGTAAGCACTAATGTTAATGGTTAATCTAGTTACTAGAGTGAGAATGAGTTTAGAGATGGTTACAATTTGGATATGGGAAAGGCTGAGACATGAGATTAGAATATAACCATAAAATCTAAGACTATGAAATTAAGTGCTAACCACAATAGTTAAATGGTGAATGTTGAATAAAGAGAGGCAAATGTGTAATTGTGAAAAGGATTAAATAAGGGATTAGAACATGGATGAATAGGCACTCTTTCTATTGTCTTTCTTTTCAGGTGTGCCCTCAATCTACCATGGCAATTTTCAATAACACCACATCTACCTACTCCTCAAACTTCCTCCTCACTGCTTTCCCTGGGTTGGAACTTGCTCATGTCTGGATCTCTATTCCTGTCTGCTGTCTCTACATCATTGCCTTATTTGGGAACAGCATAATCCTGTTTGTCATCATTACTGAAAGGAGCCTCCACAAGCCAATGTACTATTTCCTCTCCATGTTGTCAGCTGTTGATCTATGTCTGACCATCACAACCCTTCCCACTGTACTTGGGGTTCTCTGGTTTAATTCCCGCAAGATCAGTTTTAATGGCTGCCTCATCCAAATGTTCTTTGTACATTCCTTTTCCTTTCTGGAATCCTCAGTGCTGGTAGCCATGGCCTTTGACCGCTTCATGGCCATCTGTAACCCACTGAAGTATGCTACTGTCCTCACAGACATGATGACCATGGTGATTGGAGTTGTCATCTGCATCCGGCAAATAATTATTATGTTTCCCATGCTCCTCGCTTTGAAGAGCATATCTTTTCTTGGAGGCAAAGAGCTTTCTCACCCATTTTGCTATCACCCAGATGTGATCAAATTCTCATATTCTAGTCCATGGGTGGCAAGTTTTGGGGGCATGTTTCTTCAGCTCTATCTAACTGGCACTGACTTATTGTTCATCCTTTTCTCTTATGTCCTGATCCTTCGTACTGTTCTGAGCATTGTGGCCCCCAAGAAGCAACAGAAAGCCTTCAGCACCTGTGTGTGTCACATCTGTGCTGTCACAATTTTTTATGTGCCAATGATTAGCCTGTCGTTGACACACCGCCTCCTCTCTTCTACTCCTAGAGTGGTCTGTAGCATTTTGGCCAATGTTTATCTACTTTTACCACCTGTAGTAAACCCAGTAATTTATAGCTTGAAGACCAACACAATTCGCCAGGCTTTGCTCCAGCTATTTCAACCCAAGCATTCACGTGGCTCCAGTGGGAGGGGTCATACAGGAAGGTGGGTTTGAAAAGGTAGAGGATTGTTATAACACTAATTATATATAAATAGGAAGGAGACTTACATAATTGGCAAGCTAGCCTATTTTGGTTACTGTGATGATTGCAGCTATATTCCTGGAGCAAAGAAAACTTATTTCCTGAGCTTAACAAAGAATTTCAAAAATTACTATAATTCAAACCAAACTGTGTAATTTTTCCTTGGACTTGTTTCAAAGTATCACATGTTTCTGTGTACGTTAAAGGCATACTAAGTTATTTTATCTTTGTTTTTTAATTTTTTTATTTTTTTTTAATTTTTTTTAACTGTCTGTTCCATTGAGTGACAGCTGCCACTGGCAGAGTCCCAGGGCAGAAGTTATTTTATCTTTAATGAAAATGCAATTATCTATTTAAGAAAGGAAATGACTAGACTATTAATAAAAGATAATAAGTTTATTTTCTAAAAATTCAGGTGAATAAAATATACTCCATTTCACAGTGGTTAAATTTCTCAGAGTATAATGACTTCCTTGTGCTGGTGAAACAGAAAAATGTGCTTATATTGAAATGAACGCACATAGAAATTTTTGTTTAGAAAATGTTTGCATATTGATTTCAGGTCCATAAGTCACAGTTAGAAAGTCCTGTGTACCTAGAGATCTATTCACTGTAGTCTGTATTTTCTTTAATCCCTTTCTTAAAGAAAGGGAGACTTTTTAATTACTAATTGCTGCTTTTTATCTCCAACAAACCTAATATACGAACATACAGATTACCTTTAATTCTTTTCTTATTCATTAGGTATTTAATACAGTTCTCATTGTAATTCCACAGTCCTCCTTTTGTGTCAGCTTTGGCTGGGAATGACATATCCCCCTTCTTCCCCCCTCCCCCGCTTGTCCTTAATTATTGCATCATTAATTTAGTACTTAGCTGTTGGGCTTCTCTATTTCTCAGTGTGCTTATAATTACACAGTAACTTGAATTAAACAGAAAAATCTGTTGTTTATCTCTGCTAACAATTTTTTATTTCTAAAGAAGTAATTTTAAGTGCAGATTCATATGGTGTTAGAATCATTCTGTACAGTGCTATGAAACTTTAGTTCTACTGAAAATAATAGATATGAATGCAGTAGACCAGGCAGATATTCTGATCTGAGCCACTTTTCTTTTCTGATATAAAGTTCCTACTTCCCAGGAATATAGAGAATGATGGCGATAATATGTTTGCTTCAGCTTTTCTGATTATACAAATCTTTATTTTGAGGCTCAAAAGCAATAACTTTGTGATTGTTTTGCTTAAGTGCAGATCTCTTTAATTATTACTATGATTTATTATTTATAAATAATTATAAATAATCACATTTATCTTTAACTATCACTACTGATCTTGGATATAAGTTTTCTATTCTGAAAGTTCACTGCTTGGTGTGTTTCTAATTATGGATATATTCTGAATTTCTAAAGATGTTTTTATCTTTTATTTTCTCATAGCAGATCAAGAAATGTTATGTCAGGAAGTACGAGTCAGCTGAACTTGACTTAGAGGCCAGGAGTTGAGCAGCCAGCCCAAAGGCTCATGTTTCAAATCTACTGGTTCTTCTACAGAAGAAAGATAGGAAATTTCTTCCCATGAGATTCACAGCCTCTGCAAACCTTCTGAAACTATGAACTGGTTCCAAGACCAACACATATAATAACAACAATTATCTGCAATTAAAACAAGCTTGGAAGCAGAGGTGACATCCACTTTTGAAATAGCTTCCTCCAGAAACCCTATGAACTTGGAGAAACTATGAAAGTTATCCAAGTGTTCAGGTCTTTTGTTCATAGGGTAGCTATGAGTCATCTATGACCTGATGACACTTAACAACAACAACGAGAGAGCTCAGTTGGCTTAGTGGACAGAAAGTGATGCTACCAAGGCAAAGGTGGGTGATTTTAATCTATGACCCTCAGGCCTGGTTTTAATTGGTTTTGGTCAAACATTCTTCTAAGTGGTATATCACTGGTCTGTCCATTTGCTGTACAGACATAACTCGTGGTGGCTGTGATGCTGAACACCGTGACACTGATGTGTCAAATCTGATAATAGTTACCTATGGTGGCCAGTGTTTGGTGGCGCTCCCTGACTAAAACAAGCTTGGCAGCAGTAGTGGCATCCACTATGGAAATAGCTTGCCTCTGGGAACTCTATGATGAACTTGGAGAAATGATGAAAGTTATACAAGTGTTCAGGTCTTTCATTCATATGGTCACTATGAGTCATCTATGACTCGATGACACTTAACAACAACATGACTCTGGAAACTCTACAAACTCTCTAAACTCTATAAATGTACAGAAATGATGGTAGTTATAGAACAGAGTTCTGTACAGAAGTGATGTTAATTATAGAACAGAGTTCAGGTCTTTTGTACAAAGCTTAGTCTCAGTTGTATTTGACTCTACGACACCTAACCACTGCTAAATGAAACTAGTGCTGTTATATGTGGAGGAACACTCTTCCATCTTGTACATCACTCTTTGTCAATGTGCAGTAAGAAGTAACCTGGGTTTGCTGTGATGTTGAACCTTGTACCATTGGGGTATCAAATACCAGAATGGTTTCCCAATATAGACAGTGGAGCTCCCAGTTGTAAAACAGGTGTGGAAGTAGAAGTGGCATCCACTTCTTAAACCACATGCCTCTGGAAACTCTATGAACTTGAAGAAATGACAATAGGTATGGAAAGGCATTAGGTCTTTCATTCATAGAGTTGTTATGAGTCTTGCTCAACTTGATGGCAATCAACAATAACATGAGTACTTGGGGTCTCTGGTGGCCTAGTCCACAGAAACATGCACTACTAACCCCAAGATTATGCCCCTTTCTAGAGGTTCAAATCCATCTGCTGCTCCAAGGATATAGATGGACAATCTCTTCCCATGTGATTTTGTTCCAATTTGAGACAATGAGTTGAGTTGTGAGTTTGTCTTAGTATTGCTATTGTGTACTGTTGAGTCAGAACTGATCCATAGCTGACCCTCTGGTGGGTTTTCAGAGGCAGCTAATCATATGGGAGGAGATTGCCCAGGCTTCTCCTGTGGAGCAGCTGGTGGCCTTGAACTGTTTGCCTTCAGGATTGCAGTGCAGCTTCATGCCACTAGGACACCAGAGTTCCCAAACAGAGGTACAAAAATTTAATATAAAATTATTTTCATGTTGTTCTATAGTCTTCACACATTCTGTTATACTGCCTTTGGAATGAACAAAATATGGATCTCTCAGTTGTTTGACCACCTAGGTTCATCTAAGTTTCTTGGCATAGATGAGTTAGCATGAACAACACGTCATTGATTTATTGAACCATCTCAGTGAGTAGTCTGTCAACTTTTAGAGACTTGATTTTTGCCTATTCCTTAATTTAACTTCAGAATTCTTCTTTTTGTACCATTAATTCTTGATCATAAGCTACCTCGTGTATTAGTTGCATTCACACAATTCTTGTTAGTATAGTTACTTGGTGTATACCCTCCATCTTCTGTTCTGAAAATAAATACTGGTGAAGAAACAATCCTCCAGAAACAGTATTCTAAGGAAGATATTTTAAAATTTGGATACAACACTGTAAGTCCTCACTTGCCTATGCCTAGAAATTTGGAAGACAGCTTGGCCCACTGGCAAAAGATATTAATATGTGTGTTCATAACAAAAAATGTGATTCCAAAGAATGTAGAAGTTGCAGTACATTATCATTAACATTGTGGGCAAGCAAAGTTGTGCTGAATATAATTTTAAAAGTTGTGACGATACAGAGAATTGCCAGACACTCAAGCCACATTTCCCAAAGGATGAAGAGAGATAGATAACGTTGCTGATGTCAGACGTATTTTGAGTGGAAACAGAGACTTCCAGAAAGAGATTTGCCTATTTTATCTTATTGAGGAAATGAAGATATTTCATAGTGTGGGTCTTGAAAAATTACTGGTAACCATTCAAAGATTAAGAATTTCAGAACACTTAATTGTACTCATGCAGAACCTATACATATAAGAAGAAGCAGTCATTAAAATAGAACAAATTATTTTTTAAAAAACCATAAAACATTATCAGTGATGGGAATTCCCAGAACACTTAATTGTGCGCATAGGGAAACTCATGAGTCAATCTTTCCAATAGATTAAGAGGATACTGTGGCATGGTTGAAAATGAGGAAAGATATATCTGGACCGTCACATTATACTTATTCAATATATGTACTGGACAAATAATTTGAGAAACTGAATAATATAAAGAATACAACAACATCATTGGAATAAAACTATTTGCATTCAATTTCTAGATGACATAATGTTATTTGCTAAAAATGGAGAGGATTTAAAACACTTACTGATGAAAATCTAAGCCTTCAGTATGTATTTTAATACATATGCACAACTGAACCCGTAACTAACACCATGATAAGTGGAGAACAATTAAAATTGGCAATGATTTTATTTTACTTGTATCCACAATCAACACACATGTAAGAAACAGTACACAAATTAAAGGATATATTGCATCAGACATATTTATCCCAACAGGTCTCTGAAGTGTTCAAAACCAAGGATGTAAGAAATAAGTTGTGTCTAGCCCAAGCCATAGGCAATGATTGAGACAATGAAAATTGGACAAATTAGAATGACTCTGTTTGCTTAGTAGATAAGAACTTGTGCTGTTAACCCAAAGAAAGGGAGTTCAAATCCACCAGCTGCTTAGTGGGAGAAAGATGGACAATCTCCTCCCTTGTGATTTATAGTCTCTGAAAATCTGCTGGAGGGTCAGCTATAAGTTGGTTCTGATTCAATTGCATATCAAAACAATGAAGAAAAATTGACGGTCCTGAATTTTTGTAGTATTAGCCAAGAATACTAATTGTACCAGGCACTGGTAGAAGAACAAACTAATGTGTCTGCAAGAAGCAGATCCAGAACACTCTTTAAAATTAAGTATAGTCAGACTTCATCTCACCTACTTTGAGTTTGTTATCAGATGGACTAATTCCTT